GCTTTTGTCAATTTCACAAGAACTGCTAGTTTAAGTAGGTCATACATTGTTTGTTGTAATAAGTTGAAAATTTCATGGCTGACCTAAATTAAAACAATATACTGTTTATACTAAATTTATTATAATTATCATATAATATTCTTGGGTGAAAGAGAAATTTGCAGTTGTTAATACAAATCTAGAAAAAAGTTCTTGTCAAACCACTTTGAGACTTAGTATTTTTTACGCAAATTATCACAGACTTTCGCACACACAGCTCTTATGAAACACCGCACACAAAGTAGGTCACATGCAAATGATTCTAGGTTTTTATTAAAAGAGCATATTATAGAACGGCAGGTTTGACTATTTTAATAAGCCGATCACTATAAAAATTTTAACCTTCAAGTACTTGAAACAATGGATTATCAACATTATTTTTACAAGCGCTTCTAAAGCTATAGGCCTATATATATTGGATATAAAACATGAGTTCAAAAGTAAGACAAACGAAATGGCCTACAAACTATTTGACAATTTGTAGTTAACTATGGATGGTCATCATAAGTATAGTCTTGAAATTAGTTGAAAGGCCCACTAAATATTAAAATCGTGTAGGCCTACCAATACTACCATGTTATGAAAATAAATATGTAAATAAAATTAAAAACCTGACTGTTTGGTTTTTGTCTCACTTTACTGAAGAGGAAGTATTTAGATGTTTTTACTATTTTCATTAGGCCTAACTTACTAACTAGTTTAAAAAAGCCAAAAACAATTACATCTAGATTCTAGATCTAAGAATCTAAGTTGTTTTCATTTTGTCACTAGGCCTATTTTAAACATTAAAAAAATATTTTCAAATAATAGATCTAGTATAATAGGCCTAGGCCCTACTCAACATTCTCAACTTTTATACCTTTATCATAGTTTATGTCATGTTTATATATATTGGTCATTATAGGACCCCAAATAATAAAAATATGAATAGGCCCAATAGCCTATTATTAAATTAAAAAATTTTTTTCAAGCCTAAGTTTTTTTTAATGATTAATACAAATTTTGAATTTTAAGTTCCAAGTCCAATGATCAGATCTGGATCAATTCACGGAAGGATTTTCGTCTGATGTCCATTCATTGCTTTCATTTTAAATAAGCCGCAGCATTAAAAATTCATTTTAAATAGAATTGGGTAAAACTCCATTTTAGCGTATTTTATTCTCCGCTTGTCATTTACCTCCAGTTGAGCGTATTTTATTATAACAACCGAAACACACCAAAACATTAGGAAAACACGATTTATTTATTTGTATTGTATTTTTGTTATAACAAATTAAGAAAAATGAATAAAAAAACAAAGAGACTGACTTTGTTTTAGATTTTGATAATTTAGTTTTGTTAAAACTTGAGAAAAATCCAAATTTAGAATATTGAATGTGCAATGTTCATGTGTCAAAATTTTTATGGCAATGGGTGAAGTACGTAAACGTAAATCACAATTGCAAGGCGGTTAAGTTTGTATTGTTACAAGTATCTCCCAGGCATGATACTATAAATATTAATAAATAAACATTAATGAGCTTACAATTTACAATGACCCCAAAACTGAGGCCAACACAATTTCAAATAGCAATTGCCCGAGCTATGATATGATGTATGCTGATAACTCAATGTCAATGTGAACTCACGGTGAACCCGCGACCGTGTAAGGATTTTTCTCCCGCTGACGATTACACGAGATTTGATATTTAATTGGAACAGTTCTAATGCTTTTTATGCTTTTTTTTTTACCTTTTCTAATTAAAAATCACATTCATTAAAAAAATAAGTAGATCTAGTGTTTTCCTGACGTTTTTGTGTGTTTCTGTTGTGTAATAGTAATGTATAAGTCGAAAAATAACGAAATTTATAAGTTAGTGAGCCCGCTAATAATAAAATTAAAAGGTAATCTATCGTTTTGGGTACGTAAAATCGCCCGCGATTTGTAATGTGAAAAACAGGTGACTCCTTAAATTTTAATAATTATTTCACATTTTGAGGAGGATTTATGTTTTAAAAAATTCAGAAATGTTTCCTTGATTCATTTATGTACCTGTTTTTAAACAATTGAATTAAAACTTTTCCGTAATAAATGAAGACTAGCGATGTTTCCAACAGATGCAACCATGCTCATTTACTATAGCAGCCATCTTGTCTAAGTTTTATTTTTATAAGCTTTTAGCGCCAGATTCAAGGGGAAGCCACTCTATTTTACAAATGGCTGCTGTTTATATAGCAAATCTTGCTCTCATACACTGCTGTTTAAAGTTAATTTCTGGCCTATATCGATATATTTAGCCATTGATTTAGGTTTATTATTCATTTATCTATAATATTTAACACAAAAGTATGACAATATACTTCTATTAAAGCCTTGACAATGAGGTAACGTTTTCGTACATAAATAGCCGCGGGCGATTTTACGTACCCAAAACGATAGATTACCAATTAAAAATACGCTCAACTGGAGGTGAACGTGAAGTGAAGGGGGGAATAAAATACGCTAAAATGAAGTTTTACCTAGAATTGGACTCTCAACATGAAGTTAAATAATACAAAAGATACTTTAAGGCTTAAGATAGACATACAAGTCTTAGTTTTAAACAACAGTTGAGCTTCAGGATTTTTTAAACTCATTGATTACCGGTCTTAGCAACTGTGAAAGCTATTCCTAAAAGACAGATACTTAGCGCTAAGCATTAAATAGCAGTACAAAACACAAAAATAAAGAGACTACGTTTCTTTCAGAAGCTAAACTTGTCTCGAGTAAAAATTATGCTGGAGCTGTTTAGGGCAGGGGTCGGCAACCTGCGGCTCGCGAGCCGCATGCGGCTCTTTTGATATCAAGGTGCGGCTCTCCAGCCCCTTGCACAAATACTAATAATCTTAATAAAAAAATAAAATATTTGAAATAAAAAAATGTTAGTGGCTCTTTAAAACAAGGGAAATTTTGAAAATTGTAACTTTTGGCTCTTCCGCTTCAAAAGGTTGCCGACCCCTGGTTTAGGGCATAAATTTATTAAAATCTAGGGCTAAAAAATAACACGTAGAGATCTAGATCGATAAATAAAATTATAAATTCAATATATCAATATAGATTCCCTTTTGATTTATATAATAAATAATTATACTAAGCCTAGTTCCCATAATTCAAATTTAATTAATAATTTAACTTTGTAACAATTATGTTAAATGTTTTTATATTTTAAACATTTTCTCCCCTGAAAACAAGAGGATACAATACACTATCTATAAACTACAGTCAGATGATAGCATTGATACTAGGATAGGCCTACTGTGAATATTATGTTCTGATGTATCCGGCTCAATGACGTACCAAATTACAGAAAGAAACATAAAGACAACTGCAGTTGTAGATAGCACTTATAAAATAAATGAGTATTTGTATTTGTACCCTTTGCCTTTGTTAAATCTTACAAGTTACGTGACAATATGTTCAGATGTGCAGAGGCATAGCGACCCTTCCCGGCGCCCGGGGACATACTTTCAATTTGGCGCCCCCTTGGGAGCAAATTTTCGATTTGCACCCCCCCCTCGAACTTTTCATTTGCACCCCCCCCCTCAAACTTTCGATTTGCACCCCCCCTCGAACTTTTCATTTGCACCCCCCCTCAAACTTTCAATTTGGCGCCCCCCTAAGGTCGGCGCCCGGGGACTTATGTCCCCCCCCCGCCCCCCTCGCCACGCTACTGCAGATGTGGACTGGCCCGCCTGCCTGCCGGGGAAAATCAGAGTTTCTTCCAGGCATCTCTTCAGGAGGCTACCTCCCCTCCCCCAAATTCTACTGCCCCCCCCCCCCCCCGAACGAAATTTATATAATTTATATAGAAAATATCTATATATATATAATTCTCTTCTGGGATCAGTTAGAAAACAAGCTGCAAGCGCGCCTTTGCAGTCCCCTCTCTTCCTCTCTATCACTATCACTACCACCCCCACCCCACATGATCTGGTGAGCGGTGTTCACTCTGTTTACATTTTACAATCATAGAGACGGGTTTGGTGACGGCTATTAGGGGCAGATAATTGAGTTTGAAACGATTTTAAACTTAGAGGAGGGGGGCGGGGGGGGGGTTTAGTGTTTTTAAGCAAATATTTTCAATGGCAGCATTGATACTGTCGAATTCACAAATTATAAATTACTGAAAAGTAAAAAAAAAAACAACTAAATAGCGGCGTATGATACGCAGCGGGTCGGCTCGTATACTTTAACAGTGTCCACCCCCCCCTGAAGAATGTCTATAGCCCCCCCCCCCCCCCCCCCCCCCCCCGGAGAAAAAAGTCTGGAAGAAACACTGGGGAAAATCCTAGTGGACCCCACAGAAAAATTCTCTTGGAGACTAGCCAGTCCACAGCTGGTTATGTGTATTGATGGGAGTGGGAATGGTTTGCCTGTTTTGCATGCTTTTGTAAGAAGTGAGCCTGTGGAAATTTTGTCTGAATGTTTGCATGATGTATATGAGGGTATATTTTGTGATTTATTTCATGCTGACAATGATTTTAGTGCAATAGGTACTATCAGTAAGACTTTCAGTCAAGCATTTATGTACATTGCATACAATGTCTGCTGTTAAAAAATATTTGTTTACAAATGCACCTGTTATTGCCACCAAAATTCTCACCATTTTCAAACAACAAACACACCTTCACTTCATTAAAAACAGACATCATTTCTGCATGCGCTGATGTCTAAGCCTACCGCTGGTCTTTATCAGAAATATGGACGGCATGCAGAAACACAGAGCTAGCAACACTTCACAACACAACAACAAACCATGTAGAATCATACCATTCCAGAATAAAACAGCACCTTGATAGCCACAACTTCCTTCTTACCTGTCTGTCTAAAATTCATATACATGATGCAGATCTCTATAAAAAAAAACTTGAGAAATTGATGGAAATTCAGGGTACAGTTCAGGAAAAACAATAATTTATATAAAAGCAACATCAGATAGATGAGATTTCTTTATTGTAATATATAAAACAATTAAAAACAATTTGGCATTATGTTACAGTTTTTAAAAGAATGAATGAAACTGCCTACCAGCAGGTTAATTACAATTGATGGTGATTAGAAGTAATAAACAACTTATTGACATTAATATGTTAAAACTACGGTTTACATTAAATTAATTGCTTGAAGCACTGACAAAAAACATTCAGTCTTGCTACAAATAGTTGTAAAAAATAAATAAGAGTTAAAGTTACTCATTTTAAACTACGACATAAAAAACAGATCTCAAATTAAAAAGCAAATAGTCAATAAGACTTAAAAGAATAGAAAAAACTTTAAAAGTTTTTGTTCTGTTTTAGTTGTAGTAGGCCTAGTAAAGATGAGCATGGAAATAAAATAGCAGCTAATAAAATTATTTTACGAGGCTCCCTTTTCTACATCAGCGAGTCTGCGAATCATTAAAATACCATCTCGTAGTGGGACAAGAACCTGAAATAAAAAACAATAAGTCATTAAATAAAAATAACATTGTTTAAATAATGCTTAAGATTAATTAAAACTTTTGTTAATCAGATGTACAAACCCAATGGTCTTAATCTGCACACATTAGTGTGCAAAAGAATGAGTGCTTCTGAAACCTTTTGATTCAAATGTTGGTGGAAATGCTAATTATTAGTTTATTCTACAACCACTGTTTTCATTTAAAAGTACAAGAATCTATAAAATGACAACTTGCCTTGTGTAATGATGCATCTGCTGCCAAATACTTTGCAACTTTGTTGGTCACAGTTTCTCTCCCTGGTGAAGCATACCCACTCCCTTGCATGTAGGCATTGTCCATCAAAACTGTCCCTCCAGGACTGAGCAGTCCTTTTTCAAAGATATACTGTTAACAAAGTATACAATTATTATAACAATTTAATTTTTTAAAAGTAGACCTTAAAGCTAAATTAGTTTTAAAAAAAAAAGAAATAATCTACAATAAATAAAACGATGCATTTTGATTATACTTTTTTTGGGTAATCTATCGTTTTGGGTACGTAAAATCGCCCGCGACTAGTAATGTGAAAAACAGGTGACTCCTTACATTTTAATAATTATTTCACATTTTGAGGAGGATTTATGTTTTAAAAATACAAAAATGTTTCCTTGTTTCATTTCTGTACCTGTTTTTAAACAATTTAATTAAAACTTTTCAGTAATAAAAGAAGACTAGCGATGTTTCCAACAGATGCAACCATGCTCATTTACTATAGCAGCCATCTTGTAAAAGTTTTATTTTTATAGACTTAAAGCGCAAGATTCAGGCGGAAGTCACTCTATTTTTACAAATGGCGGCTGTTTATATAGCAAATCTTGCTTGCAGACACTGCTGTTTAAAGTTAATTTCTGGCCAATATTGATATATTTAGCCATTGATTTAGGTTTATTATCCATTTATCTATAATATTTGACATAAACATATCACAATATACTTCTTTTTACAGCATTGACAATGAGGTAACGTTTTCGTACATTAATAGCCGCGGGCGATTTTACGTACCCAAAACGATAGATTACCTTTTTTTGTTTGTATATTCATAATGTGTGATCAGTAAAAATACATTTTTTGTCAATTAATTTAATAAAATATACATTACGGTTTCATTAAAACAAGTTTTATTACCCATAAGCCAAAACTTGCAAGATATTTCAAATTAAAAACCGGATAGACAGTTAAAATGTATAACAGCCTAGCATTGTAAAAATGCATATGACTTGTTAATGCTGCTTCATCTATTTCTGGATTATATTTTTAATTATATTTACTAACTAGAATCATATTTGAGGCTTGATGGTTGATCAGGTACATAGAGTGTCTCTGTTTTTTGACCATCACATAAAGGACATATGTAAAAAATATCCTTAAAGTTGGATGGACAATCTAGCTTCACAGATTCACATCTAAATTAAAAACAAACTCCCATACTAGGCCTGACCTTAAAGTACTCCAGATATTCAGACTGGCTGGCATCCAAGAATATGATGTCAAACTGCTCACCATTCGCTGACATCTGCTTGATGGTGTTGAGGGCATGCCCTATTACGTAATATCATGTACATTATTTTGATGAACGGTGACATAATTTAATTTACCAGGCTAGAAATGTGTCATTGTATTATTATTTATTACAAAAAAACATGGCATTGACAGGATTTCATCTTGGTAGATACTTTAAAATTGTTGATTTAATTAATAATGTTATCAGGGTAAATTCTGTTTTAGGTTGCTGTCAGCATAGAAAAAATGAGGCTAAAAAAAACAAAAATGTTTAAAAAGATTTTTTTTATTGTTCTTATTGTATTGGGAATATTTATTTGTAACATGGTTTATAAAATTGTGTGCAAGATTAGAGTAGCCTCCCATATTTAGGTTTTAAATAAATTGCCCATTTACTTGTTAGATTTGTTTTTTTCAATTAACCTACTCTGAAGAAATAAAAGCCAATGATAGTTTAATAAGTGTAGGGTAGACACCAATAATAATAGAAATAAGAGATTGTGAGTGGGGGGAGAATATATTGTGATTTAATATATTATAAATATATAAATATCAATGACATTCCTCATACCTCACATAACAATACCACTCACCAATTTTGATAGTGATTTTTTTATGGTGCGGTGACTTTTTAAATAATTGTTCCCCAACAAAACTTTTTAAATATTCGTCTTGATCAAGGGTTACCAGTTCACCATCGGCTGAAAAACAGGCACAAAATTTGTGACAAATCTGTAGGTACCTATCAACCCCAAAATGACATACTCCTCTATTGTTAAAAGTAAAAGTGTTTTGCTGTTACAAAAAAATATAAACCTGGTAAAGCCTCTGCCATTGAGAGGGCGCTGTAGCCAGTGAACATCCCAATTTCAAGGATTCTCTTAGCTTTCTGAATGCTGATGATGGACTTTAAAAACTGACCTGATAAAAGAATCAATTGTTAAGAAATCTAAAATAGTATTTTGGATTCACTGTGTTGGATATAACACATGTGTTTTTTGTGTAACATAAATCTTGTATTACTAAGTCAGTTATGAAATTTCATGAAGATTAAATTATTAATACTGATTCTGATCTTACCTTCTAACAGTCCACTCATCATTAAAGGCATCAGCTGCCAAGTAGTTTTTCCCTCCTGGTATACTTTCCTCCAATCATGCTTGTACGTCTCTGCTAGTATATTCTTGCAAGCATCACTCTCCTTTGAGCTGGCTGAATGGGTAAACTGCTCTCGAAGCTTGACCAGTTCGCACGCAGACTCCAGGGACTGTATGACTTCAGGCGCGGCTTTTGTTGATCTGGCAAGTCTGAGGGCTTTCTCCAGCTCGTTGACGGCAGGGTCGTAGTACGACAAGATGTGTTCTGTATCCGACATTTTGCTTTTAACCAAATTATGATTTAGATCTATATTTAAAAAAATATTTAGACATTATTCACTTTAAAAAATGAAAAAAAAAGTAACATCTACTATGTACCATTCTTCTAACACTGTTATTTAGTCTATAGGCTCTACTCTTGTTTTATGGCCAAAGAACCTACTGAAGTACTAAAGGCAGCTATTTGGCTTTGTTATAGATAGAGGGTAATTAAGAATTACATTAAAGTGCCTTTGAGGTTTTTTTGGGGGAGGTAGGGTTGAGGACTAGTTATCTGATATAGGGTAACAATAAATATATTTATTGTGGGGGTGGTGGGGGGGGGGGGGGTACATAAAAAAAAGAAAACATTAATAAAATATAAGTCTATAACTACCCCCCCTCCCCTTGATTATTAATTGGCAGGTTTTTTCGTTGTGAGGTTAAATAATACTATTAATATAACCTAATTGTATTTATATGATAAGTCAACTTGTGGCCTATGTCATGTGGCTATAATCACTGCCGCTATAGTAGTGTATTGAAAATTGAAATATGGATCACATAAAAAAAATGTAAAAAAAAATTATTCACTTTGCATTAATTAAGTTTAAAGTAAAAAGTTCCTGCTTCTTCATTTAAAATTATTTTCTGACATAATAAACTAATTTAATAAATTATCACATTTACTTTTATGTACGACCCCCGCCCCGGACTATTAGGATAATGTTAAAATAATTTACTTAGGCCCTATAAGTTAAAATTAACGCTAAAATAAAAGTAAGGGAGAGTAATTACGTACTTGATAAGCAGGATAAAGTGATTTTCTTCTTTTTATTGCACAAAAAAGTGCATAGTCATTTGATTTGTTTACATTTGAAATTTTGCTTAGTCACGAAAATAAGAAAGTGTAATAAATGGTCAAAAAATCAGAGAAAATTAAATACTTTATTACAAGGGAGATAATTACCGAAATTCGCAAATCTTCATCAACACCACGGTTATGTCCACTGTAAATCTTTCTACTATTACATCTTATGACTTATACTTAAGATTTTAATTAAGTTACGGTTAATTAATCAACTTGCCCGCCCCCCCCCCCGGCTTCTTTTCACTCGGCTGCAGCGTTTGAAAGAAATAGCTCAGCAGTTATAAATCGGTCGAAATTTTGTATACAATTTGACCAGAAACAAACTTTGTGGCCCTTGCAAAAGCTGGTAATAAAATTTCAAAACAGAGAATGTCAAAGTAATGTTAGAGAAAACAAAGCAGGCTATAAATACCACCGGGAATTCCAGTTGCGCACTTACTAGAGTACGTTCAAGCACACGGAAACCAAAAAAACAAAACAAATTGCTCAAAATATTGTATGCATTTTTTTACCGAGTTAAAAATGAAACACATTGAATTTGATGTGTTTCTTTTAGTCGTCTTAACTTTGGGCCTCCTAGCACACACCACCGCTGGCGGTAAGAAAACTAAACTCAGATAGGCCTACTAAATAATATTTAACAATTATTGCTCGGGTCTAGTCTAGACGTCTAGATCTAGATCTAGATATAGTATCTAAATCTAAATCTAGAATCTAAATGTTTTAAAATTTTAATCGGTGATGCGAAAAGTTTTCTGTGGATTCTCCTGAAGTTAAGAAACAAAAATTGAATGTAGGAGTGAAGCATTGATTATAGATGATCCCTAATATTTAGCAACAACATTACCAGCTGTATTTGCTTATTCTGTTGTTAATATATCACATTTTCTGTCTCTGAACAGCACAGCAGTGCGAACGAGGGGGCGGGGTTACAAATACTAACTGTGACACGATTTTGTTTGGGCCCTGTTGTATATACGGTAAGTGGGGCGCTGTTTAGGTTCGTTTTTGTGGGGCGCTGTTTAGGTTCGTTTTTGTTTTATTTCGTTTATATTTTTAGTTTGCTTAAGCCACGTCTACACTTGCAACATGTATACCATACATGTATACAGAAGCGTAGCGAGGGGGGTGGTACGGACCGCACCGGGTAACACCATTTAGGGGGGGGGGGTGACACCAAGGCAAAAATAGCAAAATATATAGAGAAAAACTTGAGGGGAGGGGTGCAAATCGAAAGTTTGAGGGGAAGGGGGTGCAAATCGAAAAGTTGAGGGGGGGGGGGTGCAAATCGAAAATTTGTCCCCGGGAAGTGTCGCTACGCCTTTTCGGGGGGGGGGGGGTGACAGCATTTAGTGCCGCACCGGGTGACACCCGACTCTCTACGCCACTGCATGTATAGAAAAAAAAGCCCGACTTGCAGCAACTAGGTAAACGTGTTGCGTGGGGGAAAAATGTTTTCATATAACATTTACTTGTTGCAAGTTTTTGTTTTTTCTGTATATGCATAGTAGGTTTACATGTCGGAAATGTAAACGTGATGTTATAATTCATATATACTAAGTTGCAATAATAGAATGTAGACTCCAACTCGAGACTGATCACTGACGCCGACCTAATGACGTCGATTACTAGACATCAACTAATTAGTACCCGCATATTTCATCATGTAACGGCGTGGTCGTGCGGTAGAGCGTACGATACTATTCCGAAAATTTTCACGATGTCTCCGAGCCCACCCAGCGCTGATGGGTACCCACATTCGACTGGGGGGGCGGGGGGGGGGGGGGAGTAAGGAAGTTTGGATTAGTGTTGATCACATTGTCCACTTTATATACCGCGACCAGCGAAACAGATCAACTCTACTTCATCTGTCGCATATGAAACTGTTCCTTTCATTTGTAGGTACACTACAACCGTCATATATATTACATATATATATATAACTATATATATATATAGTATATATATATATATAGTATATATATATATATATATATATATATATATATATATATATATATATATATATATATATATATATATATATATATATATATATATATATGTATATATAGGCATATACATATATTTTTTCTTCCCATATATGTAGGTGTATATATATATATATATATATATATATATATATATATATATATATATAGTATATATATATGAATATATAGGCATATACATATATTTTTTCTTCCCATATATGTAGGTGTATATATATATATATATATATATATATATATATATATATATATATATATATATATATATATATATATATATATATATATATATATATATATATATATATATATATTATAGTATATATATATATTGTAATGTTTTTACTGCTCTCAAAAAAATGTGCTGTTCTATTGTAATATTCTTGCTTCTATCAAATGTAGCGTTTTTCTTCTCTTCTATTTCTCACTCTCAGTCACAGTCACAGACGATCAAGAATGAAGAATAAGCCGTCTTCTGTAAATCTTTATTTGACTATCTTTCTTGAGCGGGAATAGTCTGTGTAGCGCGCATCTAACAAGACTATAGCGCCAATACGTGTGCTGCATAAATTACTGGCTAGGGCCGTCGTTTCTCCATCCCCTCTAAGGCTAACGCACCGGCTTATATACCCCACCCGCGAGCGTCTCGGATGACACCTTGCTCTTGGCACGAATTCTAACGCTTACCTGTGAAAATTTCCCCCGCTTTTGTGCTAACCGACCCCAAATAACCCTATATAAAAACTTAACGCGATCTCCTAAAATTCTAATAAGCTTATCCTCTGAAACCACAGACAATTCCCTTTACAATGATACCAATTACAATAAACATCAATAAGTTGTTCTTCAACAATAATACTTCAAGCATGCAAATATTGTAAACATATAATCAAATACACCTAATTAAAGTAGATTTCAATAATATCGGCTTGCTCCTAACTAACACTAAGATATTCTAATTAAAGATCAAGCTTGGCCTAATAGTTCATCCAATTTTCATGCTATAATACCAACTATTTATTAAGATATGACTTTTCTTCTTGCTCTACTAAGCACAATTGACTAATTTCTAACAAATTCACTACAATATATATATCCTGTCCATGTCAGTGAACCTGTTTAACATGAGAGCTCTGGCCGAGTTTGATGCCGATGAGACTACCTGTGTCAAGAAAACTCTGATCACGGCTGACTTCCCCTCACCTGGGCTACATTTTACCTGGTTCAGAATCATCATGAAAACAAACGGTACCTTTTCTTTTCATCTTCTGTTGTTTGTTCTTTTTTATCTGAGTGCCTACGGTGTTTATTTTGTTTTTTGTTTTATATTTACAAAAATGTGCGTATTGAAGAGTTCTTCACACCTCCCTCCCCCAAAAAATCCTGAAAACAAACGGTACCTTTTCTTTTAATAATCTGTTGTTTGTTCTGTTTATCCGAGCGTCTATGGTGTTTAATTTGTTTTTTTTAAAATATATATATATATATATATATATATATATATATATATATATATATATATATATATATATATATATATATATATATATATATATATATATATATATAATGTTTGATTTTTTTTATTGTTACATTTTCTTCACTACCAGTTACTTTTAAAGACGTAGTAATTAGCATGGTCAATGTGTCGGGAGGGTCAGAAGACTTTGAAAACTTCCGCGTCCAATTGGTCAGCAGTACCACAGCAGACGTCAGCTGCCTCGCCATCCACACACACATCACCAGACTGTTGCTTAGGAGCACCCAGCCTCTTGATGTCTGCTCTATTTACTTTGCTTCAGGTAATTCACAGGTAGAAACTCAAAACAGATGTTCGATACTTTTCACTTGAGGTATATCTACATACATTTGCCAATGAAACATAAAACAAGTTAAATTTAAAGTGCTTTTACGAAATGAAGTGAATGCGTTATTCGTAATTCATAGAACATTCCTTTTTAAAAATCATCATCATCTTTTCCCGGTCGTGCAGAGTTTCTTCCAGGCATCTCTTCGGGAAGGGGGGGGGGCTCCGCCCCCGAAGCAAGTCTACCCCCCCCCCCCGAACGAAATGAAATTTATATAGAAAATATATACTTTTAACAGTGTCCGCCCCCCGAAGAAAGTCTACCGCCCCCCGAAAATTTCAAGTCCCCCCGTCCCCCCCCCCCTCCCGGAGAAAAAAAGTCTGGAAGAAACACTGCGGTCGTGGTCAAGACACATGGGGCAGATGAAGTTGAGTTTATCAGTTTCAATGACCTCAGCATATAGAGCGATAGTGTGGTCAGTGCTATGCCCAGCCGCCTTATTTTCCCTAACTTGAGCTGGTTGGACCCAGGGACGTCCTATACAGTGTTCCTTCCAGACTTTTTTCTCCGGGAGGGCACTTGAAATTTTCGTGGGGGGGGGGGGGGGGGCGGTAGACTTTCTTCATCCCGAAGAGATGCCTGGAAGAAACTCTGGTCCTAAAGACTTGAGCCCGTGATCTGAACTCTACTTCTTCTTCTTCATTCTCTAGAATTTCGGGTTAGCAGTCGTAAAATCTACGATTTGGCCAGGCCGTCCCTTTTTAAAAAAATGTAGCAATAATAATATTTTGAATATATTTAGATTATTAAGAAGTGTTAAATATTACTTCTTAAAAATCTAAGTATATTTAATTATTAATTATTATTATTATTTAATATAATTATTATTGGTATATCCCATTTTTAACCATATTACTTGATCTAAAATATAATATTAGTTTACAGTTATATCTATGAATTGAATATTTTAATACATTTCCTTCTCTAAAAATTGTCACCAGGGCTACCGCCCCCCTCACACCCCCATGCTTCGCCAAAACAAATTCCAAACACTTAGAAACATTTTTTTACTGCAGGTCACAATATAAATTTCCGCGAGACCAGGACGATACAAGGCACCGAGTTATCGAATAACGTCTTCGACGACCTATCGCGAACGTGCGATACCTTAACGACAGCGAAAAAATTCGACGTTACCCTGGACTCAGTCTATGAAATTTTATCTTTGTCGGTAACATCAAGTAACGGTAAGATTAATGTTGGTCTGTTTCTTAATTATTTTAATACGAACAGACCCGCGGCATATCATACGCCGCTATTTAGTTGTTTTATTTTCTACTTTTCAGTAATTCATAATTTGTGATTTCGACAGTACCAATGCTGCTACTGAAAATATTTGCTTTAAAACACTATCAGTAGGTCGTTAAGGACGATACTACCCCCACCCTCCTTTCCCCCAACTCCTACCTACACCCCCCTGTGAAAGCAGCCTCCTCTTAGTTACCTCCCCTAAGTTTAAAATCGTTTTAAACTAAATTATCTGCCCCTAGTATAACCGTCACTAAACCCGGCTCTACGATTGTAAACATTTAGCGTGAACCAAAGCTCACCAGACCATGTAGGAGTGGGGTGGTAGGGAGCGTGCTTACAGCTTGTTTTCTAGCGTCTCCCAGAAGAGAATTATATATATAGATATATATAAGTTAATCCAGACCTACCAGGAAAGAAAGAAGAGCATTGGGGGTCATACAGTGGGGTGCGGGGGTGCGGTAAGCACCGGGTGTCATCATCCAAGGGGGCGACACCAAGGCAAAAACAACAATACTTACTTTGAAAGCATATGATTTACATGAGAATATGATTTACAGAGAGGAGAAAAACAAAGATTGGGGGGAGAGAAAAAAATTGGGGGGGGGGGGGGGGGCGGCTCTTAGGGCTTACTCTTTTACAGCAAAACACCCACTGTTGCGGCCGATGTTACACTTTCAACTAGAATCATTACGAATTAAAAATTTATATGTGTAGCTGCTTAGCTTGACCGGGTTTTACCCAGCACGGTGACTTTGGGTGTCACCCTCTACCCTCCCACACACTCCTCTGGTGAATGGTGTCATGAAATGGGCAGTGACGTATTTAACAGTTTGCGCTTTTACATTAGCCATTTTTTTTTTGCATGGATGTCACCCCTACCCCAACACCGATGACATTTAGTACTTAAAAATTAATTAAGCTATAATCCTATGTTAAACTGAACCAAGCTATTCTTTCTCGATAAGTATAGTACTTTTCGTCTTGGTGTCGCCCCTTTGGATGGTGTCACCCGGGGCGTACTGTACCCCCGCACCCCACTGCGTGACGCCAATGCTCTTCTTTTTCATGTATTTTCCATTTTTAAATCTAATTTAAACTATCCCAGTTCAGACGATCATTTGGATGTATGACAAAGATGGCACCCTCGTTAGGAAAGTAACCAACGTGAAAAGCGCGGAATATATTAATATGTATGATAGTAGCAGTACCAGCATTAAAAAATTAACGGTCCAAATTACGAGAACTTTAAACAACGCCGAAGCAACGTTGTGTCATCTTGCTCTGTCCGGAGGTAAGTAAACTTTTGATTGAAATAAATTAGACCAAGTTTTTATTTTTATTTTTGAGAGCTAAAGTACATATAGGAAATCTAAGTGTTCATCTTCAATCCAAAGCGCTGATAATTTAATTTAAATTCAAGTTTGTAAGATCAGTAAACGCTCATGCTTGTGAGCAATCATTATGTTAGTTAGGCCATACAGTGGCATACAGTCATTTTGTTAGATCATGCAATATCATGTTAGGTCGCATAGTCAGCATGCTAGTTAGTTCCAATCATCAAAGTAGGTCATACAATCATTATGCTAGTTAGGTTATACAATCATTATGCTAGTTAGGTCATGCAATTATCATGTTAGTTAGGTCATATAATCCTCATGCTAGTTATGTTACACAATCATCAAGCTAGAAAGGTCATACAATCTTTACATTAGGTCATACAATCATCATGCTACAATCAGTATGCTGGAAAGGTCATACAATCATTATACTAGTTAGGTCATAAAATCATGCTGGTAAGGTCATACAATCACATCATGCTAGTTAGGTCATACAATCATCATGCTAGTTAGGTCATACAATCATTAAACTGGTAAGTTCATACACTCATCATGCTAGTTAGGTCATACAATCATTATGCTAGTTAGGTCATACAATCATTATGCTGGTAAGGGTACACAATCACATCATGCTAGTTAGGTCATACAATCACATCATGCTAGTTAGGTCATACAATCCATTCCAGAATGTTCCCCTCCTCGTTACGGAAAATTTTGTGAAAATGTTTGCAGACGTCAGTGCTACCAGCGCCGTTGCTATTCGGACGGTCACTGTGTTCATTGTCCAGCGGGTAGAACCGGCCAGCACTGTGAGACAGGTAGATACAGCTTTCTTCTAACCTGGGTAGCAGAGTTTCTTCCAGGCATCTCTTCGGGGGGGGGGGGGGGGTAAGAGCCCCCTCGAAGAAAGTCTACCGCCCCCCCCCCCTTACCTCAAGAACGAAATGGAATTTATATAGAAAATATACTTTTACCAGTGTCCACCCCCCCCCCCCCCCCAAGGAGAAAATATTGACCCCCCCCCCTCGAAAATATCAAGCCCCCCCCCCCCTACCTCAAGAACGAAATGGAATTTATATAGAAAATATACTTTTACCAGTGTCCGCCCCCCCCCCGGAAAATATTGACCCCCCCTCGAAAATATCAAGTGCCCCCCCCCCCCCACCACCCCGGGGAAAAAAATCTGGAAGAAACACTGCTGGATAGTGGTGCTGTTTTATGGTGCTGGTAGTGGGAGCCCCGAGTTCGAATCTGGGATCAAGGCTATAGAACTGATGGGTATCTAGCACACGTTAGGAAAAGTAAAGGCGGCTGGGTATAGTACTGACCATACTATCGATTCATATGCCGAGGTCACAGAAACAGGTGAACTCTACTTCACTTGCCCCTTGTACCGCCAAGTTAGAAAGGGAACTTTACTTTATAGTCAGAGTAATATGTGATTCGTTGTCCATTCGTTGTCCATTCGCAAGAATGTGAAATCGCAATTATTAAAAAAGTACCTAATAATTTATAACTTTGATTAGATTACATTAACTATATTCAAAGGCGTAGCGATATATTTAGGTGCACAAGACGAACTATCACTTTTGCGCCCCATCTTCAAATTAGACCTATATATAAGTATTCGCGTTGGTGAAAATGCGCCACCACCTCCCTTTTTGGAAAAAGTTGGGGGGACGGGGGACGGGGGGGGGGGACTGGGGGACGACGCGTTTTAATAACTTTTGCCTAGGGCGCTAAATAACCTGGCGCCGGCACTCTGAGTATTTAACTCACGTTAGAGAAAATAAAGGCAGCAGGGTAAAGTGCCGACCACACCCTCCCTTCACATGCCGAGGTTACAGAAAAATAAACTCTACTTCATCTACCTAATGGATCGCCAGGCCTAAAGAAGATTCTTTACTTTTTCATTTCACGAATTAGTTGACGAGAGTAGTTATCTTCTGGACACCTCAACCGATTTAGACCAGCCGACCAACACCAGACCGACCTCGGCAGACACCTTTCAACAATTGGTGTCTGAGAACTTTGACCTCCTGGCCGTGCTGACGTTGGTCCTAGGGGTGTTGCTGTGTGTTATCGTCATCATCATCGTCATCTGCTTGTACCCGGCGCACATCGTAGAGGTCATAGGTAAAGTCTGTTGTGTATTTATGTATAGAGGTCATAGGTCAAGGTTATGTATTTATGTATAGAGGTCATAGGTCAAGGTTATGTATTTATGTATAGAGGTCATAGGTCAAGGTTATGTATTCATGTATAGAGGTCATAGGTCAAGTCTTCTGTTCTTTTTTAATGTTTGGAGGTCATAGGTAAATTCTGTTATGTATTTATGTATAGAGGTCATAGGTAAAGTCGTGTTTATGTATTTATGTATAGAGGTCATAGGTCAAGGTTATGTATTAATGTTTGGGTTCATAGGTAAAGTCTGTTATGTATTTATGTATAGAGGTCATAGGTAAAGTCTGTTATGTATTTATGTATAGAGGTCATAGGTCAAGGTTATGTATTTATGTATAGAAGTCATAGGTAAAGTCGTCTGTTTTTTTTAAAATTAATATTTGGAGGTCAAAGGCCAAGTCGTGGGAGGGGGGCGGACACTGGCAAAATTTCTATATAAATTTCTTTTTCGTTCTGGAGGGGAGGGGGTGGTAGACTATCTCTGCCCCACATCCCCCTTCCAAAAAGATGCCTGGAAGAATCACTGGATAAGTAACTAGTGAGGTGAGAAATATAAATTATTTGTGTAGCTCGAACATCCTGTTCTTGGCGCTTGTTGTGTTAAACACATAGTTTTTGTGATACATTGTTTGCTGGTTGTGCAAGTGAACGAAAAATTTTTGCATAATTTTAAATTGTATTAAAAAATTTCGTCTGTGGCTAAAGCTATTTAAAACTTATATCTGTATCGTTGTAATTAACCTAAAATGTAAAAAAAAAAAATAATAAGAAAAACAGTTTCAAATGGAGTAAATATTATTTGCAACATGTGATTAATAATTGCTTTTTTATTTAAAAACAGGTAACGACCAACTAGAGGAATATATGAGTAAGTTGAATGCTAATTGAATTAGTCAGTTGAATGCTAATTAACGTCTGCTGCATGCTAATTGAATGAGTCTGTTGCATGCTAATTAAATTAATATAAAGGTTGTTCCGGGTACACCGGCGTGATGGTAGAGTCTACCCCTACCAGCATCGTACCCCCCTCCAATGATTTGTTAACATTCCTCTCTCAATGATTTATCAATTGTTAACATTCCTCTCTCAAAAATTAATAACTTGTTAACATTCCTCTCTAATTGACTTGTTAACATTCCTCTATAAAAAAATTAATGACTTGTTAACATTCCTCTCTAAAAAAATTAATAGCTTGTTAACATTCCTCTCTAATTGACTTGTTAACATTCCTCTATAAAAAAAAATAATAGCTTGTTAACATTCCTCTCTAATTGACTTGTTAACATTCCTCTCTAATTGATTTGTTAACATTCCTCTCTAAAAATTAATGACTATTTAACATTCCTCTCTAATTGACTTGTTAACATTCCTCTCTAAAAATTATTGACTATTTAACAATCCTCTCTCAACAATGTATGGCGTGTCCACACTCTCCCTCCCTGCAACGATTCCATAATGTCCACACTCTCCATCAACAATTAATTACTTGTCCACACTCAACAATTATTAACTTGTCCACACTCTCCCTCAACAATTAACTACTTGTCCACACTCAACAATTATTGACTTGTCCACACTCTCCCTCAACAATTATTGACTTGTCCACACTCTCTCTCAACAATTATTGACTTGTCCACACTCTCCCTCAACAATTATTGACTTGTCCACACTCTCCCTCAACAACTATTGACTTGTCCACACTCTCCCTCAACAATTATTGACTTGTCCACACTCTCCCTCAACAACTATTGACTTGTCCACACCCCAACCAACAACGAATCTATAATGTCCACACTCTCCCTCAACAATTATTGACTTGTCCACACTCTCCCTCAACAATTATTGACTTGTCCACAATCTCCCTCAACAATTTAATTACTTGTCCACACTCTCCCTCAACAATTATTGACTTGTCCCCCCCCCCCCCACCTGCAGGACTACGGGAAGCCGACGAAGAGGACGACACCACCGACAGCAACTCATCAAACTTCGGCTCAGAGAGCGGATTCACTGGCGCTACCTCCCTCAGCCAGTTCACCCTCCAGTCCAACTTCACCGAGGCTACCTCCATCTCTAGCCTCTCCTCCATCAGAATGATGTAAATAAAAGACGCGATTTGTGTACGATACGGCTTTGAGCTCTTTGTTCCTTGATTTATAATATTTTAATCGTCATTTTATCTGAGTGTTTCAAAACAATCGCCGGTTGTGGTGTAAGAGGAGTGTTTCATAAATGACGTCACGTTTTTAAATTGATATTTTTAAACCAATCTTACATCATCACAGAAAGCCACCCCCCCCCCCCCCCCATTCCTATTATGGCGTCAAGAAGTTCTATTCCACCCTCTACCAGCCCAAGAGGCAAAATTCAAACGATAATTAACATACACATTATAAGTTCTAGTAACACTTTCCAACCACCCCTTCCCTTCGTCACATACATCAATCCTCCAATCTCTCTAATGAATGTATTATGACGTCATTTACATCCTCCCACCCACTTAAGTCTGGAGAGTTTAAGTAAACGGGGACACAATTTCTTTCGATGACATCGCATAACACAGTAATGAGTAACTTACCTGCCCCTGTCATCTTCGCCGATGAATTTTCAACATGGTATTGTACAAATATTTTGGAACACAAAGCATGACATTTTCACCCCAATTCCTCCCCACTCATGTAACGCTATAGACCTCCGCCCCTCATATTGCATAAGCTTTCTAGGACCCCCCTCCCCCCTGGGCACTCAAATAAGTCTTATTTTCTTTCTAATAGTCGGTTTATACAGCAATTTTAGAGGAAACATCGCTTGTTCATATTCAAACAGTTCATATTCAAACATCGCTTGTTCATATTCAAACAGTTTATATTCAAACATCGCTTGTTCATATTCAAACATGGCATGTTCATATTCAAACATCGCTTGTTCATATTCAAACATCGCTTGTTCATATTCAAACATCGCTTGTTCATATTCAAACATCGCTTGTTCATATTCAAACATCGCTTGTTCATATTCAAACATCGCTTGTTCATATTCAAACATCGCTTGTTCATATTCAAACATCGCTTGTTTATATTCAAATATCGCTTGTTCATATTCAAATATCACTTGTTCATATCCATTAGAAATTATTGTTAGGTCTTATATGGAACTGAAAGAAAGTCTCAGCCGGTGATCTAACCACCTCTCTGTTCCACCTTAGCTCCCCCACCACCGAACAAGTTTTATGTTATCCTAGTTATCCTAATTAATGAAAAAGCTAAGAATCCAACAACACATTTCAAGGACCCTCTCTTGTTATCGCAGGGTAAATAATGTCATAAAATCAAGTACAATTGTTGGTTGTAAGGACAAGAGGGGGGGGGTGTTGTTATGGTATGTTAATTTTCAGGACAACCGTCCTAGGTTTGGGACTTGTGAAAGAGATTATCTTGCCGAGTAGGTCTCTTAGACAATAGTAACCTAGACCCAAATCATCCAGTGCAAACAATATCCATAAATAGTCTCTGACTTTCTGACTACTCACTACAATGTATTTCTAGGGTTTACGACAAATGCCCTTCAACTCGCTGCGCCCGATGTGGAGGTCCACGGCCCTGTCACTCCGGAGCAAAATTGGGATTTTCAACACAAATGTTAAGGCAGTGCTACTCTATGGCTCGGAGACCTGGATGGCTACGAAGACAAATACTGATAGGCTACAGGCGTTCGTAAACAAATGCTTACGACATATACTCAAAATAAGATGGCCAGACAAAATATCAGACAAAGACCTGTGGCAAATTTTAAAGCAACAGCCAATAGAGAAAGATATCAAGGCCCGTAAATGGGGATGGATCGGACACCCGTTAAGAAAAGAAAAAGAAAACATCGCAAAACATGCATTGGACTGGAATCCCCAGGGGAAAAGGAGGGTGGGCCGGCAAAGTAAAACATGGAAGAGAACGGTTGAGGAAGAGGCAAAAACAGCTGGGCTCTCATGGGCACAGATTATAGGAGCAGCCCAAAACCGAGTTCGCTGGAAATGTGTGGTTGCAGCCCTTTGCTCCCCAGGGGCCACAAAGGAGTGATGATGATGATGACGACAAATGCCGGAATAGAAGTTTGCCTGAATACGACAAATGCTGGAATAAACGTTTGCCTGAATACGACAAATGCCGGAATAAACGTTTGCCTTAATACGACAAATGCCGGAATAAACGTTTGCCTGAATACGACAAATGCCGGAATAAACGTTTGCCTTAATACGACAAATGCCGGAATAAACGTTTGCCTGAATACGACAAATGCCGGAATAGAAGTTAGCCTGAATACGACAAATGCCGGAATAGAAGTTTACCTGAATACGACAAATGCCGGAATAAACGTTTGCCTGAATGCGACAAATGCCGGAATAGAAGTTTGCCTGAATACGACAAATGCCGGCTCCTTCTTCGCATTCGGACAAAATTCCATTAAGGCATTTCTCGTTTTCGGGCTAAAGTCCATTCGAGCATTTGTCCTCTTTCGGCAAACATCCACTTGGGCATTTGTCGCACAGAACAAGCTTCCGTTCAGGTAAATGTCCATTGGGCTAATTGTCTTTCGGGCAAACGCCCAGCCCTAGTATGGTTAATGCATAGAATTTACAGGTATCGCCGTAAAAACTTCGTTACTTTTTCAAACCTGGCTGTCCATGGGCAGATAAAGAAAATGTTCACTTGTTTCTGTGACCTCGGTATTAAACAGATTGTGCGGTCAACACGATGCACAGACGACTTTACTTTCCCCAATGCGAGTCAGGTACCCATTAGAGCTGAGTTGACTCACACGGACTTGAACCAGGGATCCAACTCGAGACTTTCGGGTTAGCAGTCGTGCAAACCGACCAAGCCGTTTCCAAAACTCGGTAGGTAGGTCAATCCCTCCCCCTGCTAAAGTAAATATACCTCTTCAGACCTAGCGATCCACTGGGTAGATGAAGTAGAGTTAATAAATATTAAGTGTAACCAGCCGCTTTTACTTTCCCTAATGTGAGCTAGGTACCCATCAGAGCTGGGTGGACTCAGGGATGTTCTACTGAATTGAACCCGGATTCGAACTCGAGTATTTCGGTTACGTGTCTAGCGCCTTTCCCTTAGACTTACACCTTATTTTATTGATAAAGCCAAGTGGATATTCATTTAAGTATTAATCTATAGACAAAACAATAAACACGATTAATTTACAGTTTAATTAATCATAAATAATCATAAATAATCATAAATAATCATAAATAATCATAAATAATCATAAATAATCATAAATAATAATAAATAATCATAAATAATCATAAATAATCATAAATAAGCAAAAAAATTAAAAAAATCCACGGGATTATGGGTCCAAAACTGTGCGGCCAGTTGTTGTTACATGCTTTATCAATAGCTTATCCCACTCACTGAGGGTGATCATGAGAAGGGTCACTTGGCCTGGTAACCCTAATCCCAGCCTGTCATGATTAGTGTTGCCTCTAAGCTGCGCGGTTGCGCGGCCGCGCAGTACTTTTGTAAAGTACATATATCCTTGTATAAGACTTTTAGAACACTGCGCACACAAAATACAAGTTGTATACTAGCTTTTTCCCCCTTAGAGGGAATGTTGGTCATGACAGTGGCGTAACGAGGTCGGGTGTCACCCGGTGCGGCACTTAATGGTGTCACCCCCCAGAGGCGTAGCGACCCTTCTCGGGTACAAACTTTCAAATTTTCGATTTGCACTCCACTTTCGATTTGCACCCCCCCCCCTCAAACTTTCGATTTGCACCCCCCTCAAGTTTTTCTCTATATATTTTGCTATTTTTTGCCTTGGTGTCACCCCCCTAAATGGTGTCACCCCCTCGCTACGCCTCTGGGTCATGATCAAATGTCGCACACACATTACGTACACAAGTACACACCACGGCCGTGTACAGATAAATTTATGTACGGGGTTATAAGATGGGACGAGGGGCGAGCGAAGAGTTCATGTGACCTATCACATGGGAGGTCAGAATCACGTGTCATCACTCGCCATATTTAAGATAACACCATGACCTTCGTACGACAGGTCTACATACCCCTGCACTCTGTGAAGGTCAAGTGTAACAGCTGTATTAGACGTTTAACAATCATGCGAAAATTAAAAAAAAAAAAAAATTTCGTACCCTGATTGTCATTTTAGCAGATGTAGCAGAGTTCACCATTTCGTTTGGCTTCGGTACATGATCCGCTAGATTTTAAAAATTCCAGAATCATCCACTTTCCCCAAGTTAAGCGACGTAACCACCTCAGGTTTCTTACAGACAAAACGAGCACCTTTGGACAAAAAATCGACCTCGATATCGCTAATGTATAAGAGAATATATGGATATCCCCCCAGTGTTTCTTCCAGAACTTTTTCTCCGGGGGGGGGGGGGGGGGGGGCAGTGTTTCTTCCAGACTTTTTTCTCCGGGGGGGCACTTGACATTTTCGGGGGGGGGGCGGTCAACGTTTTCCGGGGGGGGGGGGGGGTAAAAGTATGTTTTCTATATAAATTCCATTTCGTTCGAGGGGGGGGGGGGCGGTAGTTTTCTTCGGGAGGAAGGCCCCCCCCCCCCAAGAGATGCCTGGAAGAAACTCTGCCCCCCCCCCAACCCCATACCTCTTTTAGACAATTTTCTTTTAGGTGAGGGGGGCACTTGAAACTTTCGGGGGGGGGGGGCAGCGTTTCTTCCAGACTTTTTTCTCCGGGGGGGGGCACTTGCAATTTTCGGGGGGAGGCGGTAGACTTTCTTCGGGGGGGGGGGGGGGGGTCGGACACTGTTAAAAGTATATATTTTTTCTATATAAATTTCATTTCGTTGGGGGGGGGGGGGGCGTTAGACTCTCTTCGGGGGGGGGGGGGGGGTAGATGCCTGGAAGAAACTCTGTTATGGACCCTAATTTTCTGAGCCATTGCGCAACTCACTCTATGTTAGCCGTGAACAGATAGCGCATAAAGTAGAAAACAAATTCCTCCAATGATAATGAGTGACAGATAACTCAAGCCCGCGGCAGACGTGACTACTCGAAAAACAACGCGTCATCACGTCTGGTCAGTGACGTGTCGCCACAGCCTATAAAAACCTGGCCAGTCGC